GAATTGGAATTGAAGCTCAAAGAATTCGATACAGATTTGGAATTTGTAGATAGCTATGTAGCACGTTACATGTTTATTGAGGACAAACATAACTTACCTGAAACACTGTCTGGTCAGTTTAGTAAAGCTGGCGACAAACGAAAACATCCCAGTAATAGAAAGTATATAATAGTAAACTTAGATATGACTTTGGTTGACGTAGATCAAGCATTATGCTTAGTAAGAAATATTAAAAGAAAGGTTATACCCAGACTTATAAATACGTTAAGAAGTTTTACGTTAAGAAGATTTACAAGCAGGAAAGAGGAGTCTGAGAATTATCACGCCACGCGGCTCATTAATCACGCCATGCGACCCGCAGAACTGGACAGATGACTAAGATTTCGGCTTGGAAGAAATAAAGTTTTTGTCCACGCATTTTAAAACGCCATTGGAACATTCCAATTTTAATGAAAAGTTAGTTTTCCAAGAATGGAAACTATTTTTGATTCATTCAAGAACCAATCTTGAAGCAATGGTACGCAATTGCCAGACAAGAGATATTTGGAGGTCGACGTTCTTGTACAAAAAGTCTAAGTTTCCAAATTTATTAAAAGTTATATCGATTATCTTGGCAATTTCCGGATCAAACTCAAGCGTGGAGCGAATGTTTAGCACAGTAACTAGCATATTGTCAGACCAACGTTTATCTATGAATCATGACACTCTAAGTGATAGCATTATGATATTAGGAAACCATGGAAGCTGGTCAAAGGAAGAAATAATCCTGATTAAAATACGAGCAAAAGAAATTTATTGTCGACGAAAGAATGATGTAACAAATAAAAAAAGATCTTCTTCAGCAATTTTCATGATCGCGCTCGTCGACGTTATCTCGAGCGCACATAATCACGCTCGATGAAAATATATTTTAATTTTACGAGCGCGATATAACACGCTTGACGATTTTATTCGTTACAAGCTTTGTAATCCGCACAAAGATTCTAAAGAATAATGATCAGCTTTTTGAAAGTTAGGAGATGAGGTCATGCAAAACGGATAAAGGTGCTTTGATGTTGCAGTTTGTTTTACAACCATTTGAAGCAATACCTTTATAGCTTCAGATACTGTTTTATCTAATAAGGAAATGTTCAATTCCCAATATAATAATATTATGGTATTTTTTGTTCAATAAAGGCAAAATGGCCAATTTAATATATTATATTATACTGAACATTTTGATATCTGATGGTGCAAAATTAAAAAATGCAAAAATGTTCAAATGTTGTTCAACCCCCTTTATTAACAGAGACAAAAATAAAATAATAGAGCTTGTTAATATTTCCAGTCTACACATATTTTTAGGTGTTATAGACAAAATTAAAAACAAAATTGAAAACAATTTGTTTGAAAACAAGGAGTGTGGGTTTCTGCTTGTCAACCGATATTTGTCTACAATAAACATCTGAAGAGTATCTTACCAAGGACAGAATTGTTTAGAAGGCAATGCTTGCAATAAGTTGCTTAAAAACATAGACAGCTTTGAAATGTTTTTTCAGGAGTCCAGTCTTGGTGATCCCTTATCCAAATACATTAAGGTACTTTGAGATTTTGAAAAATTAGTCCATGGCTGTTTTGGAAAATCATTAAGCTCTACTTATGTCAAAGATATAGAGCAGTTGTCTACGAGCTATAGAAATCTAGGGGCGACAATTCCTTTGAAAGTACACATAGTTGAACAACATATTATTAAATTCATCGATATGAAAGGTGCAGTCTTCGATATGATAAGTAAATTTTAAGTTCGACAAAAGATTATATTTTTAATATTATTTAATTATAATAAAAGTAACTAAATACTTATTATTACAATAGTACAACAGTTTATGCAAGTTTAAACTTGCATTAACTATGACGATTATTCATTAAATAGACTAAAACTTATTTTGTACATTTTATATTCTGTAAGCTTAGGTTACTGGACCAAACAAGCTCTGGAATCCATTCACCAGAATTTCAATCAGTTTAGGCAAACGAGAAAAGTTAAAAAACATAGGCCAAACTATATTGAAGCGCTATAAAATGCAGTTGTTGCTTAGAACTACAAACGTTTTTAAAGTAGCTTTCAATTTGCAGGTAGCTTGTAAAAAGTATAATATTAACCTCTGATGAACAATTGTTAAACATAATTTCTTAATATATGATATTATTATATATGACATACAAAATATAAATAATAATTTAACCAAATAGACCAGAAATTTTTTTTTTTACGGCCATAAAGTAGTTGTAGTTAACCCTGATAGACCCCTAATACCCCACCACTTGTGTATGGTTCCCTATTAGAATTTTTTAAATTTTTTTGTATTATATTAGACTAGATCAAAATTTATCAACAAATTTTAAATTTCATCAAAAAACAATCTGGTTTAAAAGTTACAACCATTCAAAATTATTTCAGGGGGTAAATTTGTGGAATTTTGAACTTCTTATGGTCATTAATCTTAAACAAAAAAATATTTTTTGATGAAACTTGAAATCTGTCAATAAATTTTGGTCTAATTTATGGCAGAACTTAAAAAAATATATATTAGCTTAGGAGACATAGTTCTAGGAAAGTGGCAATTCGAGGTTGGGACGGGGTTGGGTTAGCTCCAATTACCTAATATTTTTGCAATTCATCCTCAATTGATACCAGTATTAACATACTAAAAATTTGAGTATGCCACATAGCTCTTAGTAACCTATCTTGAACAACAAAATTACTAGACACTTGCCTAAAAAACATGATTTCTCCTTAGACCCCCAGTAAAAAAAAATTGTCTTCTGAGACTTCTGATAATAAATAAAAAATTTCTGGGGATGTGTTGCAAGGTTTCAGAGCATCTTCCTATGCACCGTGTAACTGAATGTTTAAAAAAATGAATGTTGTTATGAAACTTAATTTTAAAAACTTGTTGCTAAATGTTATAACAATGGAATATATAAAAAGTTTGCTTTACTCAAAAGATTTTAAAAACAAAAAGGATTTTAACGATTTTAAATATCCATTCATTGTAAAACTAACTTTTGTTTATTGGCAATATAAGAGTAAACTGCTTTTGATAATAAATAAACAAAAATAAAAATTTCAGTCTTTATAACTATCATGCAAATTAAATTTTTGTATGAATGAACTTTTGATCCTCAACTTTATATTTTAGTTTACTTTTGGAAAACGAAAAAACAAAATGTAAACATTTTCAGAAAATTTTGTTTCTTTTTCATGTTCTTGTTATTTTTAAACTTCAATGTCTAATGTTTAAAAAAATCTATAATAATGTAACTTATTTATTAAACGTAATTTATGATAATTATTAAAGATGTGCAGGAACCAGTTTATGCCGAGTCTCCAATTTCGGGTACCCGGCTGAAAAAACCGGGTCCGAGTCCGGGTACTCGGCACCGAGTCCATTTTTTAAAAGTTGGAACAAAAACTTGGCAAAATTATCTTGTGTTCTAACAGAATAAAAAGAAGCTATTTTAAAACTTTTTCCCATTCTTTTTATTCGTATTCTTGAATTATTTCATTTAGCGTTACAGTTTTTGTATCCGTATAAATTTTTTTGCAGAAATGTATTAAAAAATATTTTAAGTGAGATTGTTTTAAGTTAATATAACTTTGGGTTATCGACTACATAACACTCTTAGACTTATATCAAGAAGTTTAATAGTTAAAGTTTAAACTAAAGGAAAAATCAATTTGAAGATACCCGGTGCCGGGTACTGCAACAAAATGGCAATTCGGCTGTTTTACCGGGTACCCGGTAAAACAGCCGAATTGCCAGGTCCCTGGGTCCGAACCGGGTACCTGGCACATCACTAATAATTATACCTAATAAAAAAATAAAGTATATTTTTTTAAATATGTTTTTTATTCAAAACATAATTAAATATTAAATTTACTAAAATATAGTTAATGTTAAAAATATTTTAAACAATTTTCAATAATTATTTGCAAATAGCGTGGTTAAATTCTAAAGTAAAAAAGTTTTCTTATCGCAACTAAAGTAACATGGTTATGTTACGACTGGTAAAATCATGTATTCAAAGAAATGCCTTATAATCAACTCCTTATCTTCGGATAAAACTAAACAAGATAAACACAAATGATTAAAATGATTATTCAAAAAATTATGATTTAAATTTATTGTTGCGGTGCCAATTGGATTAAAATGTAAAACGCACTTTTTAATCCAAGTAAAAAGTGTGTTTTACATTTTAATCCAATAGTAACATATTCCATATTTTATCAACATGAATTCGAATTAAGCATTCTGATTGACTTAAAATACATTTATAATGTGTTTTTAAAATCATTTTTCAAATGTTAGTTTTTCTAAGTGACATAGCATAACAAATTTTATCACCATTATTATCATAACAAATTTTATCACAAAACAGCAAGACAATAAGTAATAAAGAATTATTTTATTTAGTTTTTTAGGTGCTAATATAAAATTGAGTTAGGGCTAAAATTTGGGGGCCCATACCGGTATACCAGTATCAAAATTGGCCTGGATACATTTCTTTTATATATATATATATATATATATATATATATATATATATATATATATATATATATATATATATATATATATATATATATATATATATATATATATATATATATATATATATATATATATATATATATATATATATATTGTTTTCTGTAAAGATTTTGTCTCGTTTTTTCTATAAACGATCTGTCTCAGAAATTGATAGACAATTTACAAATACATATTTAAGTTTAAACTATCATCATTACACCCAGTATTTGGGACTCCAAAAGTTTCAGAACTTTTGCTAAATGGAATCCAGCAGTTTCAAATCATTTTCAGAAATTCAGAATGTTAGAGTCAAGGTAAATATCGGAACTTTAGGACAATAAAGTCTACAGTTTAGCTGTATATAAAAATTGGTAATAATAATAAAAGATAAATTGAAATTAATCTTTAAAAATATATTATTCTTACTTTTTCCTGATGATTTTCTCCATCATTATCAATCAAATGAACAACAAAGTCAATTTTCTTTCTGACAAAAAAAAATTAAAAATAATTAAAAAATTATGACCAAACAAGTCGAGATCAATTTTTCTTGTTATTTTTAATAGATAAAAAATGTTTTTTTTTCCTATATTAGCTATATAATAAAAATGTTATTTTAGTTATATTTTATTAGCTTTTTTTGGCATATTTTATTATTTTTAATTCTATTAGCTTTATTTTATATTTTTATATTATATTAGTTATTTCAACAAACTGATTATTGCCTAATTTCATTAAATGAGTAAAATAACAAAAAAAGCTGTGTTTAATTTGTGACTCTCAGTAAACTCTTGATTTGTGACAAAACTGTGAACCAGTAAACCACAAACCAAAAAGATTGCCTCTATAACATTTTAAAGTTACGTTATGTATTGTAAAGTAAACAAGATTTGCTACATTATGTGCAAAATCTCCATTATTTTTTTTGTAACCAAGACATAACATTTTATGTAACGATACATAACATTGTAACATAACACTATGTGCAAAATGTCTGTTATATTTATGTAACCAAGACATAACATACTACATAATGGTATATAAATACATAATATATATATATATATATATATATATATATATATATATATATATATATATATATATATATACTCACACACACAATCCTCATAATTTGGGTTGGCATTCAGCAATGCCAACATAACTGCCGACCTCAAAGTGTTTGAGATTTGACTTGGTGTTTGGCCGAAAAATCGCTAAACTCGTTTTTATGTTTTATAGTAACTCCTTTGCATCAAACTTTTTTTGCCAACCTCTAACAGCTTGAGGTCAGCAAAACTTTTATTGCTGACCTCATTTTTTTTGATTCCAAGGGTTGTATATATAACGTAACCAGGCTTGTGGAGTCGAGCCGGAGCCATGAAGCCGCTATTTTTTGGTGGAGCCGGAGCCGCAAAAATCAAGCGGCTCTTGGCTCTCGTGTTTTTTTTTAAAGAAATAGAATATATATTTTTTTTATTTTTTTACTCTAGACAAACTTTATTCATTTATTGTTTAACATTGAATTTCTAATTTTTCTAACAGTTTTGGTCTTGTTAAAACCTAATAAAAGTGACTATTTTAACGATTTTGTACTCAACAAAATACTATTCTTTAATAGTATTTCTTAATATGCTTTAGATATTAAAAAAATAAAATTATATATGGAAAAATTACAGCTTTATATTATATTTTTATATTATATTATATGCTTTAAATTATATTTTTACACTGATACTATTCTTTTAAATATTTGATGCGCCATTCAATGATCAAAGGTTATTCATATCTTTAAAACTTTATTAAAGTATGCGATCGTTAAACTTGAAATGATGATTTTCGTTTCAAAACTTGTCACTAACACATTTTTAATGTATTTTTTTTCGTAAATACTTTAAGTAATTGTAGTATTAATTAAAAACGTCAACAAACGAGTCAAAATGTTTCTATTAATTAAATTGTGATTGAAACAGCGAAAAAAAGTCTGCACAACAATCTACCTAATTCTTTTCATCGTTACTTTCAATCGCTAAAGCATCTGAATCTAGCAAAACTATTGTTTGTACAATAGTTTTGCTAGATTCTAGCAAAACTATTGTACAAACAATAATCCTTTTTCTCTATCTATCGAACGAGCAAAAGGATCTGGAAGAAAGTATGGCTTTAAGGATAAGAAAGCAGCAATTAGTATCCAACGATCATCAATAAAAACCCCGGCTTATCGAACAAAGAACAAGCCAAAAGGTATAAAGTTTCAGAGTTTTTTAAAGATTAAATTTTGGCAAGCTATTGCTTATGCAGCTGTGGTTTGAGATCTTGAGCTTTTGTCACATCGTCAACTTGAAACTCCGATTTTTACATCAAAGAACACATGCAAGCTAGACTTTTGCAATTTTATTGAAATCACGATGTCCCCTGTTAGTTCTGGCCTAATCTTGTTTCTTGTCATTATTTTAAGAAAATTGGTACAATTTAAGAGACTTCAAGTTCATACCAAAAAGCTTGAATCTAATAATCTGCACACAGTTCCGTCCCATTGAGACATTTTGGAGAATCGGCAAAGGATATTTGTGTAAGAGTGTCAAAACAATAAGTACAGCTAAAGATTTGATTAGAGAGTTAACATTAGCAGGGGAAAAAATTCTAAAAAAGGCTGTGCAGAAGTTGATGTCGTCAATTTTTTTTTATTGTTTTTTTAATGTTCGCTATTCAAAATAAAGAAAAATATTAAAATAAAAAGCATTTTTATAATCTTCAAGTCCCTTTATTAAAATAAATATTGAAGTTTTTGCATTAGTTGAACTATTTCTTTTATTTTTTATTTTTTTCTTATTGTTTTGAATTTAACAATTGCATGTTTAAACCCAGTGGGCACAGGATACACAAAAAAGGTCTTTTAAATGTCTTTAGAAAGTTTTGGATGCCTTTTGAACGTTTTGGACGTCTTTGGGACTTTCAAAAGATGTCTTTTTTAGGTACCTGCCCCTTGGGTAGAATTAGAATTAAAATTCGAACTAAAAACTCTAGTTTTGGGTAAATAATATATAGAAAAAAGTGTTTGTTTACCCAAAACATTTTTCTTTTCAAAGGTAATATCCGGTAGTTGAGTAGAGTAGTGATAATAATACAATAACCGTGTTATCATGAGAGTTGGTTAAAAATTAATTGCTGTAGTAAGTATAGTTATAGGTCGGCAAATGTGATCAAAAAAATTTCCAAAACTTGTGATTTTTGGTCATAAAGTTCAGGAGCCGGAGCCAAGCCAGAGCCAAGCTGGATATTTCTTAGGAGCCGAGCCGGAGCCAAGCCGTATAAAAAACAGTTGGCTCCACAAGCCTGAACGTAACATTAAAAAAATCTATATTTGAGATATATTTTAACTAATTAAACAGTCTCAAATCTAGACTATTTTACATCACATTATGTCTTAATTAACAATGCATAATATTACAGCAATTTCTTAAGAGAAATGGTTACACTGATCTAAAACATTAGATCAGTGAAAAAGAAAACAACAGATTAAAAAAAAGTTCTATCCTCAATCAGAGTCTTACTGTGTACTGCCACCAACAAAATACCACATCAGGCAATGAACTTCTAACACTCATCCATAGTAGGCACAGAAAAAGATTCTACAATTTTTTACAATTCTGATTGAGGATAGAACCATTTGCAAAAACAAAAAGATTCACTCAATAAAAAAGTTCAATTGGTAAAAAACAAATTTTTAATTTATATGCATTAGATTTCTAAGTAGAAAAATTGATATGGTATCAGCCAAAATCTTGCCTCACTGCAAGTGGTAGAAATCATTAATAAAGCACAACTAGTCTAAGAGCAATCCTGTGAACCTGGCATAACAAAAATTTTGTAAATAAATACCACACCCGATAACCACAATTCTGTAAATATAAATCAGATGTATGCATTTACTGGGTTCATATATCAATTGTACCCAATAAAAGAGTGAAATCCAGTAAAACCTGATCTTACCTAAAAAGTACAAACCTAAATACTCTGTTTCTTAGAGCCCTGTATGAGCTGGAACAAACACTAAGACATCTTTTAGAGTTAGACCCAATATTGAAAAACCAAAATATCTAAATGACAAATGTTACATTGTAGTCCATTTGCAAAGCAGAGAAAACTATTATATTTACAGTACAAACTGAAAACTCTGACGTCATTTCCCATCATTTGAGACTAAATATTTGCAACCAACATAAAGTAATTATATCTTTTTAGCATCATAAACCTAATATATTGTCATTTATTGTAGTGTTTATTATATTTTATTAAAACTTAAAATTTAATATACTATTTTGATTAAACATTTGTAATATATTTATATTACAAAAATATATACCTAAACTTATATGTATGGAAGATGTTTTGGATATCTGGAAAAACTAAAAGTTAAGAAAAATATTCGAAATTACGGAAATATCCGGAAAAAGATAATCCTTGAATATATAATTTAATATTTTATTGCAATTTACATGATACTATAACTAATGAAAAAGATATAAGAGCTATTTTTATTCATTGTACTAACTTTCTAGGCAAATTGTGAAGTTGTATACTTTGACCTAATTGATTAAAAAGTTAGTGATGTGAAAAAACTTTAAAAAAAAAAATTGACAAAAACATGCCTAAATTATTTACAGGTAGAGCAATATATCTTTAAAATTTTTCAAAAAAGCTAAAAATTAAAAACATTAAAGTAATGCTTTTTGTGATGATACTTGTTTTAAGATTTTTCATAAGACAAGTTTTAAATCATTCTTCCTTACAAAGATAAAGAAACAGAAAAATATTTTTATATTTTTATCTCTATAAAGGTTTGAAATTTTAATAACCCTGGACATCACAAAAATATTGTTTTTTCCATTTAAAACAAGTACTAATGAAAATATAAATGTATTAAAAACTGACTTTTTATAAAAATATTATCAATGCCCAATAAAAATTAGATAGAACAGATATTCATTAATAAGTATTTTTAATTTAACTTGCGACATAATACCTAATGAATGTATATATATATATATATATATATATATATATATATATATATATATATATATATATATATATATATATATATATATATATATATATATATATTTATATATGTATATATATATATATGTATATATATGTATATATATATATATATATATATATATATATATATATATATATATATATATATATATATATATATATATATATATATATATATATATATATATATATATATATATATATATATATGTATATATATATATATATATATATATATATATATGTATATATATACATATATATATATATATATGTTTTTTTGTATATGTGTTACATATACAAAAAAACATACATACGTATATCATATATATATATATATATATATATATATATATACATACATACATACATACATACATACATACATACATACATACATACATACATACATACATACATACATACATACATACATACATACATACATGCATACATACATACATACATACAAAAAAAAGCATAAATAAAAAATCAGATAATTATATATTTTACTTGTTCTTATATCCAATATTTAACAACGGACATAACTCCTATAATATTTAATTATATTATTATAAAGTATTAAAAGGATTCCCTATAATCTTTTTATACCCTACAATTTGTAGAAAATTAAAATATCAAGAGGCATATATGCTCTTAAAGTATAGTCTCACATGAACGGGCATCTTTTTATCAACTTTCTATAATACTTAGTATTTAAGTTATAAAAAAAGAAACAAACCCTTTTTGATAAATTTTTTGAGGTGTAGTAGCCATGGTTTAAATTAACTTCGGATTGTGTCATTTAGTTTAAGTTGAAAACATAGTTTTGTTACGGGTTTGAAGTTTACTATTAAATCGACGAAGCTAAAGAAAAATTTTTTCGTTTACTTTAAAAAAAAATTTTGAAAAAACTTTAGAAAATGTTTCAAAAATAGAGCCAATAAAACACTTTATTTGTGTTTGCATAAAATCGCGCACAAGTAAAATCTAAATCAATTTTCTCTGACCCGGATCCCCAAAGCAATAACTATTGTAAAATTAAAATAGTAATTTTACACAACATAAACAAAAATCGTGTTTTTTGACTTTATTGATGTGTTTATAGAATAAAAAACCATTCAATCAAAATTTTTCCGCGCTATTTTTTTATTTTAAGAAGGTTACTCCATAGTATAAAGAAAGCACAAAAAATAAAAAATATTATTGGAACATATTTTTTTCCGTTCAAAGTAAAGTTTTTACCTTCTACAGCAACGTCGTTAGCAACAACTATGTTCCTGTTTTTTAAGTCAATTAAGTTCAATAATTAGTATCAAATTGCTTTAGTACCCTTGATAGTGTACGTTTATATTTTATCGCTTAAATTACTTATGTTGAAAGAGCAAACAGAAGTTTGATCACTGCTAAATGTTTGTAGACTTTTTTTTTCTCTTTTCTTTTAATATTTTGCTGTTTAAAAGTATTACAATAACCACAGGCCCGACGAGAGGGGAGGGGGGGGCAGAGGGGGTATTTTCCCCGGGCCCGGGCCCGTAGGGGCCCGGGCCCATCTCCATCAGTCCCTTAGTCTATCAGGTCCCAGTCTCCAGGTAATCAGCCGATCCCCATCAAGCAACAATGTGTCTGCATCACTTCATCAGTTAGATAAATAAATAAATTTACTATGCAATATTGATAGGATAAATCTATTCTTTATTTATAATTTAATTTATTTAATGAAAATACGCTTTTGAGAGTAAAAACGGAGACTAATAGCCTCTAAAACTTAAAAAATAATATAGGGCACCAGCCCGCAGGTTTTTCGTAAGTTCCTTGCTCATGCCATGCTTTATAATATATATAATAGGCCTATACATATATAATATAAATATATAATATAATATAATATATATAATAGGCCTATATATATATATATATATATATATATATATATATATATATATATATATATATATATATATATATATATATATATATATATATATATGTATATATATATATATATATATATATATATATATATATATATATATATATATATATATATATATATATATATATATATATATATATATATATATATATATATATATATATATATATATGTATATATATATAAAACCTGCAAACTTTGTCTTCATTAGAAGATAGAAATTTTATCTTTTAATGGAAACAACCTGCTTAATAAAAAAGACGAAATATTATCTAAATGTCGACATTTAAATAAATTCCTGTTATCTTCGTTTGATACTGGAGATTAAATGATTGCGCCTTTTCAAATTACGTCAGAACTCGTTCTACTGTAAAATTTTGATTCGGTTTTTAAACGTTAATTTTTAATTTTTAATTTGTAATTAATAGCTGATGATTGCCGAAAGGCACGAAACTTTAAGTACTATTATAAAGTTGTTTTTCTTCATTTAAATAAAATATATATATATATATATATATATATATATATATATATATATATATATATATTAATATATAAAGTTATATATATATATTATATACATATATCTATTTTATTTATACAGTATATACTGTACTGTACATTAAACTGAACTTCTATTTTAACTTTTAACAATTATTAATTGTCATTTATTTTAATTTGTTAATTTACTTATTAACTTAACTAATAAATTTTTGTTCTATTGTTACAGGACCTCGCATAGGTCCTGTAACAATAGAACAAAAATTTCCAAAAGATGCATTGCCTAAATCATTTCCGCGCACGTTATTTCACATTGCCATGCCAAATGGCGAAAAAATTCCACGAGATTGGCTAACGTGGAGTGAGACGAAGAATGCACTTTACTGTTTTCCTAGCCGACTTTTCTCTAAAATGCCAGAAACCCATCGATCGGCATTATCTCTGCCAACAGGATATTCCAAGCCCAAGGACAATAAATGGAAGAAACTTTATGAAAAAATTCCTCATCATCAATCCAGTAGTGGGCATAAGATGTGTTATGTAGAATGGAGACGATTAGAAGAAAATCTCAGAGATAATACAACTATCAATTTTCTACTAAATGATAATATAAAGACAGAAGTGGAAAGATGGAGGCAAATACTTCGTAGAGTATTAGATGTTATCTTGTTTTTGGGTGAAAGAGGTCTTGCATTTAGAGGCGATAGTCATCTAATTGGTGACCCCAAAAATGGGAATTTTTTGGGAATTATGGAACTCATTGGTCATTACGATTCCATTCTACATGATCATCTCGAAAAAGTAAAAGCTTCTCAACAGAGCCATAGGCAAATGCAAGCACATTATTTGTCAAATGATATCCAGAATGAGTTTATTCAGTGCTGTGCAGATAAAGTCACAGATGTGATATTAGATGAGAGGGAGAAATGTAAATATTTTTCAATGATTGTGGATGCAACGCCTGATACAGCTCATATTGACCAAAATGTTTTTATTTTAAGATACGTCTTACAGGACAAATTGACAGGAAAATATGAGGTAAAAGAGAGATTTCTGGAATTTGTAGATTGCAATAAAAAAACTGGTGAAGATATTGCAAATATAATTACTTCTACTCTTCAGAAACATAAAATACCACTGATGTGCTGTCGTGGACAAGGATACGACAATGGGAGTAATATGAAAGGTTCAGTCAAGGGAGCACAAGCTCGAATTCTTCAACATTATCCACTTGCTACTTACTCTCTCTGTGCTTGTCATAGTCTGAATTTATGCGGTGCACAAGCTGCTGAATGTTGTCCTCAAGTGATAACTTTCTTTGGGATAGTGCAAAAACTGTATAACATATTTAGTAGCAGTCCTCAAAGATGGGAAATTTAAAAAAAAAATATTGGTTCGTCTCTTCATAGCATGTCCCAAACGCGCTGGTCAGCTAGAGTGGACTGCATTAAGCCATTCGCAACCCACCTTCCTGGTATAATCAAATCAGTAGCTGATATAAGGAACCTAAATTTGTCTATAGAAAATTGTGCTGATCTAAATGGGATTATTTCATATATGGAATCGTTTGAATGCATTCTGATGTCCGCTATATGGTTCAAAGTACTTACTGCTATCAATTACACCAATCTTGTTTTGCAAGCACGGAATGCTACATTGGATGTAGAAGTGACCAACATCAAACGACTAATTGATGAATTAAAAACTCTTCGAGATAAATGGGATTCTATTATGGTGGAGAGTAAATTAGTTGCAAACACCTTAAACATTTCTCTAGAACTTCCAGAACCTAGACGAAAAATTAGGAAGCGATTTGCTGATGAGACACCTGATGAAATTTCTCTATCAAATTCTGAAAATAATTTTAAACAAAACGTTTTTTATATATTATTGGACTGCATTATAGGGAATATCAGTAGACGATATGAAGCTGCATATGAAATTGACGAAACTTTTAACTTTCTCTGGAAGTATAATCATTACGAAGAGGAAGAAGTTCGCCAAAGGAGTAAGGATTTTGTGAATAAATACAAGGATAATGTTTCCATGGAGCTGATTGATGAGCTTTTGCATTTGAAATTTATCCATGATGTTAACATCAAAAATGATTTGGACCCCTTTCTTCTTCTCAATAAAATCAACGACCTGAAACTTATATGTCTTTTCCCCAACATTTGTATTGGCCTGAGAATTTTTTGTACATTACCAGTTACGGTAGCACAAGCTGAACGGTCTTTTAGCAGACTGGCGCTTATAAAAAATGATCTAAGATCAACAATGACGCAAGGTAGAGTTTCTGGCTTGGGAATTTTAGCGATGGAGTGTGATTTAGCAAAAAAGATCAATTTTGACAGTGTAATTGCTGATTTTGCCAGTAGGAAAGCGAGGAAAGTTTTAATCTAACTTACAGGTTTTATATATTTTAATTTTGTTGTAGTTAAATTATATATAATTTTTCACTGTATTGTATTTAAAATATACTTGTAAATAAAATACTGTATATAGTCAAATTAAAAAATTATTTGTATCAAAAGTAGTATTATTCATATGTCTGAAGCCCTAAGCCCTGAGGGGGCCCGTCAGTTTGATATTACCTCAGGCCCGGTACCAGCTCTCCACGGCCCTGAATAACCATGGGCGTAGAGTACTAATATTTTCAAGGGGAACAAAATGTTAAAGGTCCGAATCTTTGCACAATATAATTCTGCTGTCCAGTGTTTATTATTTTTAATAAAAAAATAAAAAATAACAATTTTTGGTTTTGGTAAACTTGCATCAAGAAATTAAAGTAAAACCATTAGAGATCGAATTTTACTTGGCTTCCAAATAAAACATTCTACGGCGCATTTCGTTTTTTTAATAAACATATCTAACAAAAAATCTATTTTGAAGACGAGCGCATGCCTCAATTTCCATATCAAATTACTTGTCCCAAGGCGTATCAGACCTCCTGGCAGCGTTTGTTTGATCCATTTTGAAATAATGTCCATAATTATCCGTTTCCAAAAAAGCATATGTATCTAAATTTCTATTGAAACAATATCCATTGCTAATGTTTAAATACAAATAACAAGTAAGCAAGTTTTTATCACCAAATGTTAAAAAGTCGACGCTTAAAGGTCTTATATTAGCTGATCCAATAATTAGTGATGATGTACTTAGAACTATACCAAGTTGTTGAACCTTTAGGAAAGTTTTTAGTGATTGTTGGAGTTTTAGGCTGCTCATATGAATAGATTCTTTGCTTTGAACTTGCATTTATTTTATTCGTGGTCGCAAAACCTCAGTCCAAACTTGACACTCTGAATCCACATTGAACAAAAATGATTAAACCTTTTCGCTTTTATGAATCAAGTTAAGTGGAATGTTCGGAGCAATTAATTGTAATAGCATTTTCTCTTCTGTATTTTTTTTAACTTCTCAATACCACAACTAGAAGATCGTGACGATGACGAGTTTGAAATATTTCTTCTCCTTGCAAAACTAATTGGGTTATCAAATAGGACAATACTTTTTAATGGTACAAATCTTTGATAATTAGGAAAATTGTCGTTGTAGAAAATTTTTATGTAGTTGATACTATATTTAGTGTTATTTGATCAAATCGCAAACTTTTTAACTCTTGTTGAATGAGGAGTCGTTTCAGTTGATTTAAATCTACGGGTAAGCCCAATAAGAACTCTATCGAAACCGGGAAAGTACAACTGCTTGTAGATCTCATTTGGGTCCTTTGGCTGGTAATAAGTATCGCTCAAGCTGAATTCAAATCTTCCTCTTCCTTAGCAGAGCTGGTGAGTCTAAATCCATCGTTTTAGTAGATTCGGTTGCCGCATCGGAAAGTGTTTTGAAACTCAGAACACGAAGATCTCAAAACTTATTTCAGGGTCTGGATGATGGATTCAACCCTACTAAAGTTGAGTTAAGTTTTTTTTTGTTTGAAAAATGATTCCCTGGTTTATCAAGTTCTTCAAGTTTTTACCTTAAAAACAATTTTTTTTGGCTATGTTTATAGCAAAGGATTATTTCTTTCTTTGTTTTTTACGGAAAAAAACTTGATTTCTTCCTCTGAATTCTTTCTCGGTTTCAAAATAAAAAATTAAAATAATATTTATTATAAGATTGAATAAAATTTCAAGAAGGGCAAATAAAATTTCAAGGATGGCAAGGTTGACTCAAGGGGACAGCCTACCCCCGTTGCACTCCATACTCAACGCCTATGACAATAACCAAATATATTTTAAAATTTTTACATTAGTAACGAAAAGACTTCTAAAAGATCATGAGGATCTAGTCATGAAGACCTTTATAATATATGGTTAATTTTTAATAAAAATACAATGTCTGTAGTGAAATAATAATACACCTTTATGCAAAAACATTTAAGAACCAAGATAAAATGTTGAAAAGCTAAGAAAAAATGTTGAACTTAATAATATACAAAAAAACAAAACAAAAAAAAAACAAAAAAAAAGCAATAACAAGAACAATTAAATTAAGATATTTTCAATTTAAAAATATAAATTTTTTAAGTTTTTGTTTGCATAAAGCAAAAGTCAGTTGAGTAGAAAAATCAAAATTTGGTAAGACTATTTTGTTCCAGAGATAAGAACCTCGATAAGAAACAAAAAACTGGTTTTTGCTTTTACGGCAAAAAGGGCAATAAGATTGTTATTAATTCGAAGATTATATATGTTTTTAAGTTTCATGACGGTAAAGAGATTTTAGCTTTGTTCTATGAGTGCTCCCCATATAATATTCGTGTAGTTTATATGACAATGTAGAAATGAATAATATAATTGTGTTAACTGGTGTTTACTTAATATATTTCTTGCTTTATAGAGAATTCAGATACATTTAGCAATTTTTTTGGAGGTATTATCAATATGATTTCTCCAAGATAGATTTTCATCAATATATACTCCGAGAAACTTAGTAACTTTTCCTCTTTTTGTTTTTATATTATCAATTAAAAGGTCTGGCATGATATGAGGAAGTTTCTGTTTTTTTGAAGGTAAATAAAAAAGTGTCCATTTAGTTTTTTCTATATTTAGAGACAATCGACTTTGTTTTTAACCAAACCTTTTTTAATTGATTTGTCATATTAGTAAAAAGCATATTAATATCTTTATGACACAAAAACAAATTTGTGTCATCTGCAAAACTTATTATTATTAAGTTTGATGATTTATGAAGATCATTTATGTATATTAAAAAAATTAGTGGACCAAATATGGAACCTTGAGGAACACCACATGTTACATTCATTAATAGAGAAGATATAGAATTTTTATTGTAAACAAACTGTTTATGGTTAGTAAGATAACTTTAAAATCAAATGCCTTAGACAAATCAATAAACACTCTTAGTGTAAAACAAGAGTCTTTAAAAGGGTCAGTTATATTGCGTGTAAGTTAAAGAATGGCATGCTCAGTTGAACTTTTTTTTTTTAAAACCAAGTTGGTTTTCGTATAGAATTTTATTTTCAACGAGATAAGAGTAAATTCGATTGAACATTCTTTCTAAAATATTTGAAAAAACTGAAAGAACTGAGGCGAAATATAAAAATAGGGCGATAATTTGTTATATTTGTACGATGCCCTGTCTTAAAAATTGGAGTTACTTTTGCTATTTTTAGTTTATTTGAAAATGATCCTTGTGCAATGGATGCTCTGAAGATTTCATAAAGAATATCTTTTAAAACATCGTAGGAATCAATCACAATATTTGTATTTATATCATCATACCCAGTTACTTTACTTCGTTTTAATGACTTAAAACCAACCTCTAATTCATTAAAAGTTAACTCATTAAAGTTTAGATTAGAGCTTATTGATGTTTCGTGACACCTACTCGCGCCGGCCCTGACAACAAATTAATAAATGACTCAATCATTTATTAATTTGTTGTCAACTTGTATAATATTTGGGAGTAAATTTTTATATGGTTTAAGTTTTCTAGACACCTCCTTCATGATTTGCTAAACGCGTTTTGAGTTGTGCTTAATAATAGCATGGAAGTATAAAACAGATGAAAGTTCATCAAGCCGCAAACATCGAAGCAACTTCAACTTCGGGAGTATGTAACCGACAAAAAAAAAAAAAGTTTTACAAGAAAACAACAAAATTTACTGAAATGATCTTTATAAAACATTAAAAAATGAATTATTCTAGGGATATGCTGCAAATTTTTAACTATTAGTAATTGCAATTATTCAGCAAAAGGTTTATTAAAACTCGGTAATTAAATAGAACCACTTGATTTTAAAAGCATATGTTAGTTTAAGCTTCTTTTCTTGTTTTAAGTCATAACACGACATTTGATAAAAAAGACAACTACAACAATTTTTAAAAAATTGTTTTCTAAATAACTAAAGTTTAATG